GTGGCAGTGGGTTGCCATGTGCTACCATGTGTGGCCAGCAGCCAGCGTGAGCGGAGAGCAGCCGCAGTGAGCGGCCGTCCAGAAGCCGGCTACTGATCTGCCTCACCCGGGAAGAGCGCAATGATGGTGCCAACTTGGGCCAGTGAAGCACAGCAACTTGTCTGTTCCCCTTCCCCAATTCCCCAGCGCTGTTCCCATTCCCCCAATTCCCCAATAAAAATCTTAAAAAAAATAAATAAATAAAATCTGTGCGGGCGGGTGCACTGCGTTGAGGGAAGGGCCGATCGCTGAGGGGACGAGAGTGGCTGTCACGCCCTCACCGTGCTCGTGGGCAAGTCCCCATGTGTGTCTCTGCACAGGGAGGCCCTCTACAGGTTCTCTGTTCTGATCTCTATGTCCTAATGTTTATACAGTGAGCAGGTCCTGAGTTTGCAGCTTCTAAAGTTATTTCCATGAAGCAAAGTCGTCCCTGAGGGAGGGCCGTTTCTCAAAGGCGTGAGCAGCTGTGGTTGCCTTTGCTCTGGGGCAGTCAGGCGACCACTGCCTGCAGAGTTAGGGTGCTCTGTGGCAGTGCGACCCCCCCACCCCCGCCCGGTAGCCTCCTTCAGTGTCACTCAGGAGCTGCCTGGGGCCCGTTGGCCTTCGGGACACCTGGTGGTGAGGTCACTGGCCTCTAGAGTGACAGCTGGGCGGTCCCCTGCATCGTCCATGGGCTGCACACATGTGTCTGGAGAAGCAAGTTCTGTGCAGGAGACAGACGACGTTCATCTTTAGTTACCGGGAAGCGCTTTCAAGAACTGTGGAGACCACACTGACCAAGAACTGGAGCGACGCATCGCCGTGCATGGGAGCTGTGGCATTGCCGTCCACGAGCCGTGGTCTTTCTCAAAGTCATGGTGCCATAGATGGACCGCCCTCTCTGAGGGGTGCCATACCCTGGTTTTTAGTTACCGGGGGTCACAGCTCTGATGGCTTCCACAACCTCCGCCTCTGAGTGCTGTTGGCTGGATCCTCAGGGCTCTGAGACCCAGTTGGGCAGCCTCAGTGTCTGCACTGGGTCTCTGGTAGCATGTTGGCCTGGCACCTGGTGGGAGCCCGCTAACAAGGGCCTGACCTGGGCAGCACCACGGACAGCGGTGCTCGGCGGTCCCGGTGGCAGTCTGGTCAGCTGTGGGCTTGGGCTCTTACTTGGATGTGGTTTCTGGGTGGAGGTCAGTGCAGCTCTGTTGGTGCCAGCTCGGTCCTGCCCAGGCCTGCCCACAGGCGATACTGGTGTCCAGGGGTCCTGGGAGACAGCCACCCACCCCACAGTGGCCTGGCGACTCGGCCCCCGGCCCCCGTCATCATCCGGGGCCTGAGAGGCTGGTGATCCCAGGAGAGCCTCCCGGGCCCGTCCCCTCCTGCTCACCCGTGGTCAGCTGCAGTTTCCAGGATAAGCGTCCCCGTCATCCCAACGATGCTTTGCTCCCGGCTGACCCTTAGGATGGCACTGCCTCAGTGTGAGGGAGTGGAAGTCCAGGTGAGAGCGAGGCCAGGCGTCTGGGCGGAGCGGACTGGCCATGACCAGAGGTCAGCCTCAGCACCTGCCCTGTGGGCCTGGGTCCCTGGCTCTCCAGAGAGGCTGTTGTGGCCACGTGTCACATGACGTGAGCCCTAACTCGTGAAGAGCCCCTTCCCTCCAAACAGCCCCTGGCCCTGCCCAGGGGCCTCGTGAGCTCATTTCTGTCTGTCTTGTGTCTCTGTATGTCTGGGCGCAGCTGCCCACTGGAGACGGGCCCCTGGCCTTTGAGGTCCTGAGGTCCTGCCTGGCAGTCCTCCTCATTATGGCCTGAGCCGAGCAAGCAGCGTGCATGGTTTTCTGTTCAGCTGGGGCATTTGTGATGCGTGTGAAGCGTGGGTTCTGGCTGCGAGGGAGGGAGGTGCTTTACTTCCCCTTTCTGGTCTCACCAGGGGACTGGCCGCTTTAACCCCTGGAGGGCCATGAAGGTACCAGGACCCAGCAGGACTCAGAGCACAATAAAGACTCTGAAGCTATTGGAATCAGTGTCCCATGACGGGGTTCAGAAATGTTTGTACAAGGTCGTGGTGTCATCAAAACACTGAGGGAGTGCCCAGGACAGCCTGCCCAGCCTGCGTGCCGGTGTGCCAGGGTGGCTTGTTCCAGGGGCGGGCAGGCGGTGTGAGAAGGGGCCGTTTCTGCACCCACAGAGGACGAGAGGCAGGAGGTGCGGGCAGGGTGGTCGCCTGCCCATTGGTGAAACCGCCCCTTCTGCCTCCCTCCGTGACTGCGGGCCGGCTTGGCGAAGCTCCGTGAATGTTGACCATGGTTGTGTTGGGGGTCTGGGGGCCTGGAGGTGAGTACCACTTTGTGGGGTCACATTCCAGCGCCGACGCATCATGGACCAAAACACAGACTATCAAGCTTAGTGACAATGAAAAACAAGAGGCAGGAACTGAAATGGGGACCCAGGGACCATCAAGCCCCAAACAGGGCTAATTTCCTGAGCCCAACTCTGGAAGTCTGCCCTGCAATGATGTCATAGACGTTCCCAGTCCTTGGGATGAAAGGGGATGAATTAAAACATCAGTGGAAGGAATGCATGAAAGGGCCCAACTCGGACTTGGTGGGACTGTCTGGGAGGACATGGAGAGGAAGTAACACGGGGACAGGGGCAGAGAGGCGGGTCCGGATTCCAGGCCAAGGAAATGGCCTGAAAGAGTCAGAAGTGAGACATGAGTCCAGAAACCTAAAGGAGTGCGTGGTGTGTGTGAGCGGCGTGGTGGGTGTGCTGTGCTGTGGCGTGTGTGTAGCATGTATGTATAATGTGTGGTGTATGTCAGCGGTGTGTGTGGTTGTGTGTGAGTGGTTTGTGTGTGTTTTGTGTAGTGTGTGTCCTGTGTCTGTGTGGTGCGATGGGTATCTTGTGCTGTGGGTTGTGTGTATGGTATGATGTGCATGTTCTCATGAAACAGCAACGTCAAAGCCGTGTGCCAGGCGGGGCAGGAAAGAACAGCCTTTTCCTTGCCCTCACTGCTGGGGCCTGACCAGTTGGGCTGGGGGGTGAGCCTGCTGGTCAGCTGCTGGTGCTGGGTACGGGTGGAGGTGGGCACCTGTCCTGGCCGCTGCCTCTGTCGCCGGGACACAGCCTCCGCTGTGCTGCTGCCCCAGCCCTGGGGTCCTCAGCAGCACCCCCTCCTACTCCACACTTCACCGTGGACTTGGCGGGCGAAACACGGAGCGAAGGGTCTGTGCCATTGGCAGGTGGGCCGGCGCTGGCGGGCGGGGTGGAGCTGGATCTCCCGTAGGAAGTACTGTTTCCCAGAAGGCCTGGCCCCAAGCACGGTC